ATGACATGAAAATAATTATTGGCTTAATGTTTAAGTTGCCCTCAAACACTGCAGTTGTAGCTGAGCCCTGAAAGAGTTTAGTTCATGCTGCTAACATGTCGATGTGCGCTGTGAAACCACATTCACTTTGCATGCACTTCCAAAGGATGAGGACTCAAACTGATAAAGTACTGTAAATCAGGTGCTATAGTTACCGTCCATATCACTGTATATCAAATTGCTGAGGAAGCCTTCAATACTTTAAGTCCCCCTGTGGTGAAAATCCAGTTTTTAAAGGGATACTCCACTTTTTTGGAAATAGGCTCATTTAGTTGAGTTTTACCATTTTCGAATCCATTGAGCTGATTTTCTGATATTTAGAAGAATATCTGTAAACAGACCGTTTCTGGTCTCATTGACTTCCATAGTAGGAATGGAAGTCAATGAGTCAATGATGTATATGTGGTGTTTTTAATATGCTTTAAGTCAAACCATGTGCAAATTCATAAGTCAACACCAATGCTGAGTATTTTTCTCCTTAAATCTGCAGTGAAAAAAAATACCTGCAGTTTGAAATAGGCGCCACAAAACTACACTGTAACCAATCGCGTCAATGTGCCGGTGGCTTTAGCATTTCATTAACTGCTGTGAAGCAGGGTAGTCTCAAAAGAAGCCAGGTTATCCCAGTGTATTTGTCTGATGATATGAAAAATTGGGTATATTTAGCATTATAGTGGGTGAATTATGTATATAATGTATTATTATGATGTTATGATGAACAATATGCCTTTCTCCACTGACGTTCTAAATTGTTCAAGACATTTCTAAGGATGCTGATTTTTTAGAAAGCATACTGAGATGGCGAACGGGTTTATGTAACATTAGCAACACTTTAACTCATTATTACCATTATACGACCCTGTATAAATGAGTGGAAGCGGGGCTTATTTTCATATTCATGGATTCGCGTATACGACATGAAGAGAGATACTTTCAAGCTATTGAAAAAAAAGCAAGAAAAAAAATGTTTGAAGGTGCATCCTTCTTGCGTGCAGTTGTGTACAACAAATCTTTCAGTGGTTACCATGTACCCGGATCATAAAACAAATAATGTTTTTCATAGCAAGACTGCAGTAAATGAACTGCTGGTAAAACATTTTCACTGTCTAGACTGAGAACGCCTTGCCACCACAGAGACAACTCATTTAATTATCAAAATCTGATTGGTGTCTGAGCAATTACTCACCTTTAATTAAATACAACACATTTAAAGAGCCAATCAAGACATTCTGAGGAAACAACTTTCCACAGCGAAGTCTTAACGCTCCTTGTGACCTCCATGTCACAAGATGATACATCGATACATTATCAAGTATCCTCTTCCCACTTCACTCCTTCCCTTTGGCATTTATCCTTCATTTTCCATTAGCAAGTGAAGCGTAGTGCTAAAATGAGCCCTCGTTTGTCCTATCCTACACACAAGAGAACCGTAGACAAAAACACCTTTGATAACGATAACAATCTCAGGTATTTAACAAAGGCAGTGTGACAGAACAACACATGCCTGCGGGGTGTGCATACAAAAACACCCAGCGTTAATTGTCAGGCAAGTGCACTGTATTACAGTCAAAAAATAAATTAGTGGGATAACACTCGGCTCGAAAGTGTCACTAATGAACTTATGAACTTGTGAACAGGCACGAAGAAGACAATAGTATGAAGATGGTATTTTTATAGCACTCGGACACCCTGCTGATCTCCAGTGCAGAAATGTGTTAAGAACGGATAAGTTATAGCACTGCTGTTCAGATGTTTAGAAAAACTCAGCAGCTGTTTGCACGTCGAACAAGACTATGTTTTTGAAGGCTTTAAAGAGGAGGGAAGCATGTTTAATTGGCCATGAGCAGATGGAAACTGTGGACTCACATTTTAAGCACTGACTTTGGGTGGGAAATCTGTGGAATGGATTTTATTGTGGAAAGTGTGTCAAATTAAGCTGTACTACATTTAAAAAAAATTAAATTAAAATTGCATTACCAAATTGTCAAGCAGGTTTCTCATACACGCTCCTTGTCTGCTATTGCTCATCCAATTTGGTAACCCATTGGTAGTTCTGCCCAAATTCACACTATTGGTTTGGTTGAGTCAGTGTTACAGTGTTGTTGGGCATGTTTGGGGTGTTAAAAAAACAGCAAGTCAGCTCATTTGGTAGCCATATTTGGCAGCTCTGGCAGCCATTTTGGCATGCAAGGCCAACTCCACAATCAAAATACTGAAATCTCAAAAATGACTTGCCAACTGTCCCATGAATGTTGTACTCAAATAGCAACCAACGCTAACCAACGCGCATGTGTAGTACTCAGGACTAAAAAAGGGTGGGACCAAAGACAATATATTTAGAAAGATGGTTCACTTCTATTATTTATGAATGGGAGAAACTGCAACTTGCAATATGCCGTAATACTAGTAGTAGAATAGTAATAGTAGAATACAATAAAAATACAAAAAAGTACTGTAATTGCGTCACTGCAGCTGAAACTACAGTTTCCATAGAAACCTGAGACTTGTCTTTAGGACTGCACATGCACATTGGTTGGTCTAGCCTGAAAAATAAGCCTTTACGCAATTTGAGCATAAGAGACAACATTTATGGGAAAGTAAATGACAGATTTTGATTTTACATGTTACTTAATTATGAGTTTGGCAAGCAGTTCTTGATATTTCAGAATAATTCCCCCATTGAAATTGTTCTTGGATGCCAGAAATAGCTGCCCGGAGGCTTTGCAAACATGGTGGCCAAGTGAAGAGACTTTACTTAAAAGGGAGTTTGGTGGGACTTATTTCATCATATTGCGCTTTCTCCCATTCAATATCATTGGGTCATTGGGTTTGCACTTGACTTGTGTATATTGACCGACAAATGATTTTCTTTAAGATAATTTATTAAAGATAAAGGTATTTCTTTTTTTATGGAATATTACAATGTTTATTATTAATGATTAATCCCTGTACATCATTATCCAATCAATTCCTGATGGACTAAATCAAGTCCAAGTTTTATTTTTTTCGTTCGAGAAGCACTCGGATATAATATATAGCAAACTAAAAGATTCCACCGGATTTTGTTTTGAGCTCCACATATTTATAGTAAATTATATTGGTTTGAAACATGACAGTAGGTAAATTATGGCAGAATTTTCCTTTAGTGTGAACTATCACTTTGAGGAATAAAAGTTAATTTGCAAATTTAACTCTTTTATATTAGACACACATCTACACATTAGACAGACATAGGTTAGATCTGGTTTTCTCTATAGCACCTTGCACTCTGCATTTCAAATGACACAACACCAATACACGTAACCCTGGCTGTCACAAACAAAGCCATGTGTTAAACATAGTATTTTCACAGTGACATTCCCAGTGAAGTTCATAATTGAAACTGGTTTACAAGGGAAGAATTGGCTAAATTTCTTTCTCTCAGTAAGACAGCACATCAACACTGTTGCTCATGCCAACACAAACTGAAGGTCTGTTTTCAGTCTCTGCCAATGACAATGCAATCAGACGGTTCAGATGGGCGTGAAAACCGGACTCTTCCATTTTAATGGATTTTGGAGAAATAAGACACTCGGGCAGAAACCACTGACTCATTTATCGTAAAACTGGAGAAGGCTGCAAGCAAATCTGAGGTGACTTGATTACCTATGACTTATGTCTTTGACTTATAGTAGAGAGGAGCAGTTTATGTGTATAATGTATATAAAAAGTAAAAGTATATGTGAATTGGGAGTTTGAATACATTAAAGATGAAATGTGTAATTTTTCTTCTCAAAAGGATTCGCAAACTTTTTGGTCAGCCTTTTGTACTAAAATATAAGTAGCCCCAAGGTTTTAAAGGGTTAGTTCACCATGTTCTCATGTCATGTCAACCCCACAAGAGCTTCATTCAACTTCGGAACACAAACTATGATATTTTTGATGAAATCCGAGAGCTTTCTGACCTGCTGTCTGTCTAATCAGGAGGCTCAATCAAATAGCACAACATTTTGACGGGACCAAAGAAGAGCCACAATGTTTACACTTTTTAAGGAAACCAGGCGATGAATGGCTATGGTTTTCTCTGAATAGCATTTTAAAATCCAAAAAAACACATTTCACTTCAAATAAAACACTCAACGTCAAGCAAGGAAGGCATCACAATGCGATATCTTTTTGCAAAACCGTAGCATGATACATTCAATCGCTTAAGTGTCTTACCATGTAGGTGTGCAGACAGAGTATATTTTGATTGACATTTATGGCTTCACTGTGACTGCTCTAAGCAAGAAGCAAGCTTCAAGACCTTGAGCTCAGCACAAGAGCTGTATATAGTACAGGCCAACATATCCCATAAATCCAGTCAAATGCTTCTCAACAAGATTAATGCATGCATTAATACATTACAGAAATACAATTCCTCACACAAAGCCTGTTAGGGCATAAATGTGAGTTTATTTTGGAGACAACACCCTCTTATTTCTTTCCAAGGCCAGAATTTATAACACCACTGAATCAGATTTAGATCAACAGTACACTAATGATGATTAATCATTCAGGATGAGAGGCTGGTCAAACTCTTGCAGGATATCATCACTCCCCAGCTGTCCTGTTTTGAGTTCAGCAAAGCAACATGATGGCACCAGCCGCAGGACTGATGTTTACGTGAGGACTTTGCCAAGTGCTAAATTTATGCCCCCCTCTCTAGCTACAATAAACCTGAGTTTACACTGCGCCAGCTGAACACAGAGATCTGTTAGGAGATTAATACAGTCCAGATAGAGGTGCTATAGTATTATGTAATGCAATGCATCTCTATGAATATGTGATTCATAGAGGCAGAGCCATAAAAGATGCTCATCAGCAAGCCTCTTTATTAAACCTGTATTGATTTTCATGTCCACTGAAAGTACGACTGTGTACTGTAAAGAGAGAACATGCAATTATTAAAAAATCATGCTGCCATATACAAACATCATTACCTTGTATGTGTTGGTTAACAACACTCTCCAGCCTGTCCAGTCTCTCTATAATCCTCAGGGTTTCTCCTCTGTTGTCATCTTCAAACTTTTTCTCATGCGTCCTCCCAGCAACTTTGACGTTGCCGTTATTAGACACATAATTGGTGATCCATCCGACGTAGAGCAGACACAAAATATTGGTCATGCCGCTTAAAATCACGCACGTGGACACCAAAGTTTTGGTTCTCCTCGTGCATGCCATCGCGACATCCCCACGTGCGCAGCGCGCGCAGAAACAGGCACAAATCCTTTAAGCGGTTATCGGCGGTTTTGCTCTCATACAGCCCGGCGGAATGATCTCCCGTATAACGTTTCGACTTTACGTGCCCAGGACATCTTATGTGACAGGAAGCGGCAGCTGTTCGGATAGGTTATAGGCTCATTTCTTTCGCGCTCGTCCGCACTGTTTGACAGCGGGTTTACAGCTCGGCAACACGCGCACGGCTTGCTTGACGGCGTCATGAGCCGGGGGTACACGCGCACCATGTAGCAGCGCGCGCTGCTGTTGACAGCCAATGAAGTTCAATAGCAGTAATGGAACTGTTTTTTACTCAGATCTTACATTGGACATACAATGGGGAACAATAGCAAATTGTTTACTAAGCGAAAATGTCGTTGATCTAACATTGAAATGTATTATGCTTATTTTTATTTGTAAGTTTAGCTACACATTGCTTTGGACGGTATTAGGCCAGCCGCCTTGTCTGCAATAATCATGTAATGTCTTTTATCCTTATTTGAGACCTTTTCTCACCAAAAAATATACAATTAATTTGTCATCATATCATGAAATTATTTGATTTCAATTTCAAATGGTTTGTATTTTTTATGTGCAGTTTTCCCTATTATCTTTGCAGGCCTGCAAGTTATTTTTGGATCCTAACACAACAGTTGAGATAACTGATTTGACTCACCCATCCACTCCACACCACACTACTGCGGGAGTTATTTTTAACCGTTGCTGAGATGTGTTGTAAATAAATCTTAACATAAAGTCTTGATAGATACGCAACAGTTTGTAATTTACTGTATCTGTAGCCTATTTAAATATCTGACAGTGCTCTCGTGATTATTTTCTTAGAGAGATTAAAGGCATTTTAATGAATCCCTTTACATATTTAGAGGATTTCTGTTTGAAGGCAAGAGGCGCCAAATTCCCTTCTCTGTTGTATCCTCTTAAACGGTCAGGTTGTAACTCAAATGAAGGAGTGCAATCGGAACAGCCTTCAAAGATGCTCCTCATCAGCCTTCCCTATTCAGGGCTTTCAGGCTGATCAAGCGAGCCAAAGAAAAAAGCATCAGAGAAACATAACGTTAACAGATGGAATCAGAAGCAAACTACCCTGAGGTTCTGGCTTTGATCTTTGTCTTTGGCTTGAAAACTTACTCTTTCACCTGTTTAGTTTACCAAAATGTACACAGAGACTCCAGATCATGAAATGATGCATGAAATATGAATGGACACTGAAATATTAAAGGATAAAGAATTTCTTGGTAGAGACTTAGGCCATTACTTACTAGAGGATCTAGACCAAAGACAAAATGTCTGGGTTCCTTTTAGATTTACCAAAATTATGGTGCAAAAACAGTGCGTCTTCTAGGAAATGCGAAGACTTCTACTATATTCGCTACATTTTTTGAATCGCTTTTCAGACTTGTTTTAAAATAAAATGATCTGTACATCTTTAAAACAAGACAAATGTACTCTGCACCACCTGGTTACTGACACATCCAGCCGTGACTTCCCGTGGCAATGTATTTAAGCATGGACCGTATGACTCAGCTACTGTATGCATAAGATCAATGAGACCGAATCTGTTCCGTTCTGTCTGCCACAGCCCCCACTGCAGTGAGATATTATTGGGCTGTAATTTCAAATGAGAGGTCTAGGGTCTATCGGCTATGTAACAGAAGGAGACACTGCCTGGAATATCAATAGCAATGGTGGTTCTTTCCCAGAAGAGCAAAGTGAAATGTCCTTAATCAGAATCCCTAGTCCTGATGCAGATGTTGCATTAATCTGATTGCTTTTCATGAGAACTAGTTGACCTACTTGGTGAATTTTGAAACATGTGGAGGATTAAATACACTGCATGTCTTTTCCCCCTCGAGTTGGTAAACCCCGTCTCTCAGCCGATTCAAAAGAAACCATTGGTCATCACAGTACTGATTAATTACAAAATGCTTAAACAAATAACCCCATTACCGTAATCTTAGCATTGACAGCACACCTGATCATATCTGATCATTTAAAATATATTGCCCCACTTTATTATTTAGTTTTATTCAATTCCTGACTCCCTGAATTTACTGATTCAGTTAGGCAGGAATAATATTTCAGCCTTTAGTTAAATATGATTGTTATTTTTAGTTATTAATTATACTATGATTATTTTAAATCCTTTTCTATGTAAAGCACTTTGAATAGCCATTGTGTATGAAATGTCCTATAAAAATAAACTTGCCTTGCCTTACTTTTTCATAGTGTAGCATGACTATAGTTTATCAGCTTTAAATAATGATTAGCATGGCAAGATACAGTTTTAGCTTCTCCAACACAGTATTAGATGTCATTTTAGATAGTGGAAGGGTTTGGGATTGCAAATGTGGACTTCATATTGCAAAATCAATTATTGGGTCATACTGTCCTGTGGAGAGATTTTTAGTGAATTAAGTGGTGGTCAGATCAATTCAAAAGCAGCTGAGCTTATTTAACATTGAAAGATTGTCCATATTCTGATAACAGTGGGAAAGCATGCAGGCTCAATTTCATCGAGAACAATACATACTTATAATAACCTTTAGATACAGTATGTGTTTCGGAAATAATGCACAATACAGTGACTATGTCAACATTTTGACACAGTTTCATTTATGAAACGCATTACTCATTACAGATGCAAACTTGTATCATATAGTGAATCGTGAGACTGTTTCTGTTGTGCAGGTCTGTTCCCTGATATGGAAATCTCTGTGCCTAGTATGTGCTTATATTCCTGGTATAGTTTTTATGATAAGGGAATGTCAGAAGTTCCTGCCTGAGAGAATCTTATTTCCTCAGAATCCATTGAACTGAGAGAGCCTGGCTTTCATCCCCATTCAGATGGCATGATTACACTGTCATCGAGGTACAGGAAGCTTTGTGATACTACTATATAATTTCACATTCTCTAGGAAAAACAATTTGGGTTCCCATGGTCATTGAAAACCTGAATTTTAAATCGTGATTTCCAGTCCTTTTTTTTTGTACGCAACCATGAATAGATGTGTATTGCGTGTCTTACAATAAAAATATCTGCTGATTGAGCTTGAATATTTTTAGGCAAACGTTATTGCAGTATATTTTTCAATCAGGTAGCCTATATTTTTCATCAAGTTCATTTGGTTCAAAGGCATTCAGCAGATACATTATTTATGGAATGAGGAACTCAATAAAACTTCCACTCTGAGGTAATTTACTTTATAAAGAGTGTATGGGAGAGCTAATGCGTTTAATCAAGAGAGGGCCAAATATCGAAACTAAAATAAAAAAAAATGATGAAATGCATTCGACAGAAAATTATACTACACTGGCACCAATACTGAAAACGAGTCAGTGAATCATAGCAAGGCTGTTTTCATCTTAAACCATCACTAATCATCAGCAAAAGGATATTTCTGCCTTCATTTGTGAAATACTTTTTCTTTTACATGTTATAATGCAGAAAGCAACAAATGTTTCCCTCTCAACCAAATACATCCAGCAGAATTGATTCAAATTATTTGAACTCCAAAAGCCATTGTTAATACGAATAATCTAACAGTTGAATCATATATAATCTGTTGATGGCCAAAATGAGGCTGATGATTGTTCAGTCAGTGATTACGTAAAGATGACCCAACGATTTCATAAACACTATAGGGTACATGCTTCCTGTGAAAAGTGTAGGCTTTACAACAAACAAAACTAAATAGAAACACTCAGCAAGCAAATCAAAAACCATGTTGCCACTTGATTAAAAAAATTCAGAAGCCATTTAGAATCATATTCCGTGCCAGCTGGAAGACTTTATTGGGTCCTTTCAGTGCCTCACCTCATAATATGTTGCAGAGGCATGCCCATATGTCATATTTGCTCTGCTTTTAGTTTCAATGTGTGTTTGTGTGAATGTGTATGAGATGATAAGAACCTTTTAGGATTTTTGGCCATTTTGCTGAGTCAACTTGAGAGATAAGTAAGCTATAAGTACTGATGGGGTGTAATTCTTGGTGAGTTCTTGAGAGCTTGAACAATTTAATCATTCAAGTCTTATCTGTTCAATGAGTTGGTTTAAAATGGTTAAACATTGGTCTAAAATGGTTTCTCAAAAGCAACATAAGCCAGTAAATTGTATGTCTATATGATCTACTTAGGCTTAATATTTTTATCTGGTTGTAGCAGTGGATAGAAAGATTGTTAGTCAATAAGGACTTTTCATCACACAAAACTATTGTGTGGCTTATAAGACTTGGAATTTAGCACACCATTCACATGAAAGATTGTATTTTGTGATGAATTTGTGTCTTCTTGAAGCATGAAAGCCTCAATTATTGTTAATTGCTTGTAAAAGATCAACCAGCTCATTATAACATGTTTCTCCTTTTGGTTCCAACTTTCCACAGAAGAAAGTCAGTCATAAGGTTTTGAAATTACATCCTGTCATAGTCAGTGTTAGTTGTGATAATGGAGCAAGAGACTTACAATACTTTGCCTTCACAGTTTATTTGCTGTAAGTTCTGGCATTTTTATAATAAATTCCACAAGAAAACATCCTCATCCATAATGGAGAAATTCATGCCAACCACGAGTTACAGGGTAACAGAAGGGGTTTCAACTTTGAAAATCTGAAGCGAGACAAACATTGGCTTCTTTCCAACTAACATCTTGTTGAGAATATTATATGTGCAGTATTTGCATTGTGCCTGGTATAAATGTAAGATAGCCATGTAAGATACATTTTATTCATGATGGCATGCTCAGTCCTATAGGGAAAAGCCTCAAACCTCTGGCAGAGAATGCTGTCTCTCACCCTCTTCATGGGATTGCTCAGAAGAGCATTGTTAGGAACAGAAAGCTCCTTATGGTGAACAAGGGAACTCTTTCACTGTTCCTTGCTCCCTACACTGCCATATACAGCAGGTTTATAAATGAACCAGAGTCTTGGTTCCTTTACAACTATAACAGAGAGAAGGAATACAAATATTTACTCTGAAAATGATTTAGTAGATAGTGATTCTTTACTTAATGATGTGGTGGATCATAAAATCTTCAGTTTGGTCTTGATTAGGTTTGTAATTATGACGATGCTGATGAGCTACTGGGCCAACAACCAAATCCGTAGGGAATTAAGGACTCACAACTACCTCAATTGGACTAGAAAAACTGCACCTCCAATGAGTAAAATATTTTTTGTGCAATTCTATGTAATTTAATATAATAGACTATAGACCAAAGAAATCATGGACATAATTTGAAAGGGTTAAATGGTCTTGCAAAAATTAGTCACACTTGTGCTCCTCGTGGTAATGACCACATTGGAAATGAATGGGAAACAAATATCATCAAGTGA